CCGTGCGTAACAGTCGGTTACGGACACCTCCTGCCTTTGCTGCACTTAAGGGCTCGATTGGCGCGCACTTAGTAGACATGAGGAGGGACTCATCCATGACTTAGTGTCCCCGAATTTCTGTCCGAGTTGGAGTCGTCACAATAGTGATTAACTGGAGAAACAAAGAAATATGTCAAACTCCGGTTTTGAGATGAGGCTGAACTGGACGACGGTGGCTGAAGGTTAGTAGAGCCATCACAGGGCACGGGTCTCACTGGATTATAACATCGAATAGTCGGCCCAACCAACATCTATCCCAAGGCAATAACTGACTAAACAATGAACCCGGGGGTCACTGATACAATATTTAGCATACTATTAAATCACCAAAAAGTGTGCTTGGTCCCGGGCAACCTAGGCAGGCTGTCGACGGCCTATGAGCCAGCAATGGTTATTTCATTCTCCCTGGTATTTATTGATATTCCCCCTACATATACTACATGTCTACTTTCATAAATCCTCCTCCCGTGCCGGAGTGCGAGATTAAACAAGTTATGTGCGACCAATGCTATGCTTTTGTGAAGTCAGTCTAAATTTGCGAATCGTCGAAAAGTAACTTGTTTCAGTTAATTCTGCATCCTCCGATGCGTCAGAAGGCATTGTCTTATTGCTTACTGGTGTTCATTCTGCAGCTTGTCCGTCACATCGAACTCACGCGTCAACTTCTGGACATTTCAAAGTCCCCCGATTCTACCGTCCAAGCCGAAAAAATTCGTCTGAGTGAAGTTCTTTTCGGTACTATTCTTCCCGCCGTCACGAACAGCACGTCTGAATTTCAAATTGACCTGATTCAGCTTGCTTTGCCACCGCTTTCCCGGTCGGACTTCACTGCAAGTGCGGACTCTCCTTTTTTCCGGGTAGGTGCCCCATTTCCTGTCAGCGCAGACCTATCGCCATAAAAGCTGGCTTTTGCGCCAACTTCGTAGCTGCATTTTGGTTGGGGAGACTGTCACTTACACGCATCGTTGTTTGTTCGCAAGCTGTTCCTTGCACCTTCCTGAGCCGTTTGTTTTCATCATCCGATCGTTTTTTGAGATTTCATCCATTCGCCTTATCCTCTCACGCTTTTATGTGCCACCATAAAAAATCGGCGTTTTATATACGTCTGGAACTCACCTTAATTCTCAACTACCTGCTTTATCTACTTACTAGCTCTAACTCCTCTCATTCATCCTTTTTAGTGTTTTTTCGAGATTGAAGTCAGCATCAGCCTCTCACCTGGTCCCCTAGACTCGACTTCCGAGAAAGCAGATGCAGAATGTGTTTCGATGGTTTTCAAAGTGCCTGTTCAAGTCATCCCACCGAGAACCCTGTCTCCCTTGGCTGCTGGAATGCCTGGTCGGCCGGTAGAACCTCTGTGGCTGTCTGTCTGCCTTGTCGCTATGGCCGAGAACGAGTTGGCCCCACGAACGGGTCAACGATTGTCTTTGGGCAAGTCCCTCCTCTCCGGTCGTCACAGCTTTGATTTGCCCTTTAAGGCCTGTCAAACTGTCAATATTCATGGAGGCAAGCGTGGTCCTGCCGGTCTCAGTCCTCGGGAAGTGCAAGGTATGGTTACATCGCAAAGTCCACCATTTAGTTTTTTCTTCTGACACGTTCCTTATTAGTGAAAAATATGAGACAATGAGGTCTCGGTTAGGACCACAGTCACAGCCAATCTGTTAGTGATTCCGATTGCGTTTTACCCGATAAGTTATCTTGCCACTGATGAGCGGACTTACAAATTCACCTTTCGGGAACAACGAAACAAGTGTTTCCGTTCGTCATGCTCGTGCCACTATCTCCCCACTTACCCTCTCGAATGCTTCAGATGCAGGTATTGTGCATTCAGTGTGTCAACATGGTTTCGATTTCAAATGTGGCTGCGTATACAAGTTGCGGACTCTAATACCATAGCCAACCCATAAGCTTATTCCATAAATAACATACTTTTTCCGTCGAAGGCATCACTGATAAATAGAGGTCGCGCGTTCCTTGCGTCATTACGCGAATGCCGTTTGTTGCGCCGAGACATTGGTCGGGTCAAGTACCAAATGTAATGCTCTTTTGAGTAAAATCCACCCACTTTCCGATTCTATTTTAGCCATTCCAGATTTCACTCGCATTCCTGTTCTCCGTCACCTGGGAGCAACAACTCTTTAGGACAACCCTTCTACCCCTCCAACATCTTGTATCGACAACACATGACTTTACTTCTGTATTTTTTCTTGACCTTTTCAACAGATTTCTGTCTACTAATGATTACTTCAGTTGTCTTTTGAAGGTCTGCCTTCATATTCGGCATAACTGGCTAAAACATCGTTTTGAAAACACTTTGCTCTGAATCCGTCACCACCTTCCTTATAAAAACTGACCGTGGTGGAGGGGCCGGCAACATCGTAAAACAACCAGGGTGGCGGTTGTAGCAGCGCAGGTGATGCTGGTGGGCTAAGAAAGCCTTCTAAACTGCCTTACATGTGTTTGCTTGTCGGTGAAAATTCCACAGTACTGGCATTTCACGCACCACAGCCAGTGTCGTCTCAAACCAGTGTGTTGGATGGCGTGAAGTACTGCTGTGCAATCAGTCCTACCTGCTATTTGCTTGTATTGCTTTTCCCCCCGTTGATGTCGGCTTTATCGAAAGTCTCGAAATAGTAGCTGTGCGTCTTAGTTCATTTTCGTAGCCGCTTTGTGGTCTAGCCTTCTCCGACTGAAATTCGCGGATCTCGTCTGCCAACCGTCTGCCTGCGCGCCACGAACTGATTCAATCACCCATTCACCTGGGTGAATGTAGCACAACCAGTTAGTCTTTGACGCCCTTTTAGTAGGAGTTAACGACCGACCTCGTAGTTTCCTCACATTTCCAATTCCTGACGTCCCATCCCTCCTGTCAACGTCAAATCCACTCTTTAGGCCGCGTCAGACTGTCATTTGAAATTCGTCGTACGTACATAATGTCAGCACCCAGTCTTGGCACAGTGAAAAAACGTCCAAGTGCGATTTTCTGACGCCGGTTCATGGTGCGTAAGTAGACCCTTTGGCCTGATCACTCTGGGTGATCACTCCGCCATGTCGACAAGAGTTGTCACCAGCATATATCCACACTCACGCATACCTTTACTCTGCTGGCGTACCTGCATGGGTGTGACTCGCATGCTCGACTTTTTGGGACTGCATTGGTCTTTTTGCCGTCATCTGTCAGTCGTGCCTTATTCCAGCAAGATCGGGGTCTTCGGTCATCGAGCATTGTCCCGGATGTCCAACCATCTGTTTACGTGCTTACGTCCACTTGTTATGACAGGGCTGTTAGTTTCGAGTTCAGAAGACGCAGTGACGCGTTCGCGGTCTATCGGTCCTTATTAACAGTAGGATCATGTTCACCTATATCACATTATTTTACCGTAGAGCGCATTCGTCTCAGTCATGCCACGCTATGCACAACCGCCCTCCAAGAGGTGCCAGGAGCTGCGGACGGCTAATAATCACTAGAGATGCGCCGACCAAGACACAGGATTACATCACTCTCTTGGCTCATATGGTGCCAACGGGTCTTTCCATGCGACAGCCCAGTGGCCCTAGAAAATGTTTAAGAAAGCTTGCCTTGAACCAAGCCAAGCCTGGTGCTCTAACCAGTTGGCCGTGAGCTCGGTTGTCGCCCATTGCTTTAATATTTGCTGGGATATGCTAGGCTTCTTGGGCAGCACGCGTTTACGGTCTCCAGAGCGATCGGCTTCTCTTCAACCATCAATTTTGTCTAGATTTGAAAGATGGCTGGATGGCACCGAAGTAATCAATATCGTCTGCACGAATGTTACAAGCATGCGAATCCCAAGTTCTCGTCTAAAAGGTAGTGGGCTATGGTAGAAGCAGGCAGAACGTCCAAGTCATTGGAACCATCGTCAGAAGCAATAGGGACCGGTAACAGACGAACGACTTCTTTTGTTATCCATGACTGTGAATAGTGTCGAATCATCTGGCGATTAAAAGCCGTCCATTACAGACAGTGGGGAGGTCGATTTGACAGTTTATGTGCCCCACCTCTCGCTGTTGACTCGCATCGTTGTGTTCGTATTCACGAGCTCAGTTTCATAGCTTGTCTTCGGAGTGTGGACAGAATAAACTAGCGGGCCACTCCCCTCTGTGGCCATATTTTCATTCTTCCTAGAGTCCTACCTGTGTACTTGCGAGGGTAAGTGCGGCATAGGGTCTCAAACGGCATCAGATCGTTCAGCTGCGTTCGGTTGGTTTGATTCACCAAGATTTTGCGTATGGCAACCTCTGGCTAATGGACAATGCCGATGCCAGCCTTAGGACAACGCCCTCTACTGGCATTGTTGTTATACGAGAGAGACTGCCTAGTGGTTTGTCGCTCCTTCATTTTCCTCCTCAGGGGGGAGGTGCGAAGGTACTAGTTAAAATTTTAAGGGCAGAGATCTCTTATTGGTACTTCCCATTTACAGCTGTGAGCGCTGTTCTAAGGGTTGCCCGTTTGCCTAGCTGCTGGCTACCCGGCGCGTCCACAGGTGGCGGAGAGTGGGACGACCTTTAGTGAAGGTTAGCTGCGAAATAAGCAGGCCCAGGCCTGACGAATAAGCAGTCGCGGACCAGCAGCGACATTGCTACCAGGGTGCGGTGGGCTGAGGTCTGGCACGCTGAAAGCCTTATAAAAAGCCGCAAAACCCATTGACGGCATTGTGACATGGCGACCGTAAACCGCCATTAAATAAGTTTACTTGCCACCGCTGCCTTGTGGTTAGGCTTTTCAGCCAAAGCGCTAGAGGAGACAACCTCTAACATGCAATCTGAGCGGCTGTTGGGGACCCGTCCGTATTCGAAATTCCCAAGAAACCTCATGAAACATGTCCGATCACAGTACTACGACCCATGCTACGGCGTCCGCGGGAACCGACGCGCTCCGCAACCCTGGTCCAGTGGTGCGGGCGAATAGTATGCGAGATGGACTACTCAATCGTGGACGGACTCTCGGTATTGGATGCTGGAATGTGCGAACGTTCCTGGACCCTGGTACCCAAATTCTGACCGCACGCAGCCTTTATCAGTACAACGTGGATGTCTGCTGTCTGTCTGAGGTTCGACTCCCTGACTCAGGCTCCCGTAAAATAAAGATCCCTGGAGTCGAATCACACTATATCCTGTACCACAACGGCCCGCGCGATTCCTCTGGTCGACACGGTGTGGCGATCGCCCTATCTCAACAAGCGGACCTCGCGCTACTTGCTTGGGAACCCGTCAATGACCGGATGGCCTACGTGCGACTGAAGGGTCACTTCACGAACATCTCAACCGTTTCTGTGTACGCACCAACTTCGGCTGCCGAACAGCGCGATAAAGAGGCGTTTTACTCTCAGTTGCAAGCGCTAGTTGGAAGAGTGCCTCGCCGCGATCTGCTGATTGTTGCTGGCGATTGGAATGGTCGAACTGGACCTGGCGACCCCACAACCAGTCATCTTCTTGGCTTTGGGCTTGGCTCCCGATGCGAAAATGGTGAGAGATTGCTGAACTTCGCTGATCGAAACCGACTGCTTGTCACCAACACATGTTTCCAGCATCGCCAGAAACATCTGCTGACCTGGTATTCAAACGACGGTCTTACGGCCAGTCAGATTGACTGCATAATAGTCAGCTCAAGGTTTCGCAGCTGGGTTCATGATAGCAGATTGAAGCGTGGTGCCGAGACTGGTAACGCCCATGGGTCGGACCATGTCCTTGTTCGTACACGCTTGAAAGTTCACCTTCCATCTCCGCTAAAAATGCCACGTCGTAGACGCTTCGATGTCTCAAAAAGCCGGCAAATCAGCACTGTCGAGGCCCTGAGCCGAAAAATGCGATCCTGTTTTATGACCCGGGCCGACGGAGAAGTTAGTAACCAGTGGTTGTCACTGAAGACTTCAGTTTATGAGGCAGCTGAGAAAATCCTTGGATACAACCAACGACGCCGCAGTGACTGGATCAGCGGGAGAACCCTGCAGTTGTCTGCTCAGACGGCTAGAGCTAGGTCCCGCAACGATGATTACTTCCGCCAACTTCGGAAGATGACGGCAAAATCGGCCAGGGATGACCGGAATCAATATTGGACTGAAATAGCGACCTCCATGGAACAGTTCTCGAACGTTGGTGACACTCGAAAGCTCTACCGTCTGATCCGCCAAGTTAGCGGTAAGCCCTCTACACTGAGTGACTCTGTTTGCGATGTGAACAGCGGCTTTATTGCTGACAAGTCGGCCAAAGTCGAGCGCTGGCGTGAGCACTTTGAGCACCATCTCAACTTCGATGCCCAACCTACCTCGCCATTGCTCTCCTCGTCAGCGGAGTTTCTTCCCTCTCCTACCTATGCAGTGCCATGCGATCCCCCCTCCGAGGGAGAAGTCGCCCATGCCATACGAAAGTTGCGCAACAATAAGGCACCCGGAGAGGACGGTATACCCGCTGAAGCCTCAAGTCTTATGTCGACACTCCGGCGCCCTGGCTCCATGAGGTGATTGAACGAGCGTGGAGAGACGAGGTTGTTCCTAATGACTGGGGCTTAGGCATCCTTATACCTATCCTCAAGAAGGGAGATACGGCGAGATGCGAGAACTACTGCGGCATAAGCCCCATCGTTGTTGCTGCAAAGATCTTAGCTATTGTCCTACTCAGGCGATTTCAGGCTGTGCGTGGCTCTAGGACGAGGCCCAATCAGGCCGGATTTCTTGCTGGACGTAGATGCGCGGGCCAGGTATTCACTAAGGCGCATTCTCGAATTTCGCCATAGCTACCAGCAACTGACGGCCGTCTGCATTGTTGACTTTGCCGCCGCGTTCGATTCCGTCCATCGTGAGTCCCTATGGCGGATAATGGCACTAGACGGTGTACCATCAAGAATCATCGCCATGATCAAGGCCTATTATCGTTCCACTGCTACGCGAGTCCTGGTCCGCAACAATTTTCCCCAACCGTTTAGTATTCGGTCTGGCGTTCGAAATGGTTGTATCCTTTCGCCCATTGTATTTAACTACGCTATTGACTGGATTCTCGGGAGGGCCCTACACGAAGGTGACAGTGTTGAGTTTGCACGTGGACACCGCCTGACTGATCTTGACTATGCCGATGATAACGCCTTACTTGCTTCGAGTTTTGGTGATCTGCAGTCTATGGTGTCACGAGTGAACGAGGGCGCTATATCGGTCGGTTTATCAATAAACGCTGGGAAGAATAATGGGTTTTTAAGCTGCATCCCTGACCAGGAGAGTGCACCTCTCGGAATTGATGGATGTCAACTTGAAGAAGTAGGCAGTTTTAACTACCTCGGGGCGAGGCTGCTGCCGAGTGGACAGAGTAAGGATGACATTATCTCCCCAATTGATGCTGCCCATCGGGTTTTCTCAAACCTACGAAAATATCTATGGATCCGACACGAAATCTCCATCGCCACGAAGATTCGCGTGTACCGTGCACCTGTCCGGTCTGTCCTTCTCTACGGTTGTGTATGCTGTGCTTTGCGCGTGGAGGACGAGCGAAAACTGGAGGTATTTGACCACCACTGCTTGAGGACCATCCTTTGAGTGAAGTTCACCGACTTCATCTCAAATGAGACAGTCCGCGATCGCTGCGACAACATCTCAAGGATAACTCAGGCCATCCAAGAAAGACGACTGAGGTGGTTCGGGCATGTTCTTTGTCGTCCACCTCAGGAGCTCAGTGTTACTGCCCTCCATCCGGCACCGTTGCCCCATTGGAGGCGTCGAAGAGGGGGTCAGTTGAAAACCTGGCTAGACACAGTTCGTCAAGACATGGAGGTGGTTCTTGGACCTTCGGTATTCGGTCTCCGTCGTTGGCGAAGGGAGTGGGTTGAGCTGTCCAGATCTGCTGCCGCGGATCGTCGCGCGTGGAGAGGTACAGTTCGGGACATCATCGAGGCCGGCTAGGTCAGGCATGATCGCAGCCGTATCAAGCCAAGCCAAGCCAAGCTGTTCTTAGGATCACGAGGGCTTCCGTCGCATCCAAGGGTACTGTTTGCGGGAATTAGATCGTTCTCCCGGTGGCGGACCTATAAGGCTGCTGACCCCATCACCCATTTGGGCACTTGCTCGCTAACCCTTCCTCTGAAGCATGAGGGCGGGCTCAACTGCTGCTTTACCCTACTGTCGGGTGGGTTATGTTAAGATCGCTGCTCTACAGTTCGATCGGCTCTCGGTACTTGTTTTTTGGTTGTGCACGTGCGTCGTTTTCCAAATTTTCTGCTATACCAGAATTTTTCTAGCCACAAAGATGGATCTAAAAAGACTACGGTGTCGGCACACGAAAAAAGACGAATTAACAAATTATTCTTTTTATGCTGCAGCTGTTTTGGTAGTTTTGGAGAGAAGGTTTTTTGAAAATTTCCTGGAAGGTGCGTTTTTGTCTGGAAAAAAATTTTGCCACTGCGAACTCTAGAACCTAAATATGTCTTTCAGGTACATAATTTGAAGACAACCTACTTTCCCACAGCGTTTCAGAATCTGCCAATTCTCCATTAAATGTGTTGATCAATCGGAGCTTAGAAGCAATGCAGTTCCTTTAGTCGAGAGGTCTCAGATCGCCTTGATTGGAGCAAAGAAATTCTTTGAGTCGTTGCGGTCGGCGTATGTCTGGATCTCCTCGGCTTAGTGAGCCATCCAGGAGTCCTGTATTTCTCGCAACCGTTTCTGCGCTAAGTGCGGCATTGGCAGAGGGCTGCTTTGTTCGCATCGGTTGGGCGGTCGAGGTAGGCTCCGTGCAGCCTTTTCTTCTCGGCCAGCAGGTTACTAATGGCAGCGTCTCTTTCGTCGAACCACTTCTGGTGCTGGTGACGTGTACGGCCGACAGTCAGGACGGTCGAGTGAACGGCATCCCGTAGTCGGCATCGTCGAGTCTCCATGGAAGCGTTTTCATCTGCTACTGGCAGTTCTTCAAGCCGATGGGTCTGTTAATTGCTAAAGTGCAAACGGTGAGCAGGCAAAGACAAGAAAACAGCGTTCAGCTTACCTGGGGGTGGCTTACCTTGTAGTCTCCTGCGGGCTGCCAGACGGAGCTTCATCGTGGAGATGACGAGGCGTTGGTCCGTCCAGTCATTGCCGTCGCAGATCACCTTGGTCATCATCACGTCTTGCCGCTCTCGCCACCGAGCGAGAACCTGGTCCATCAGCCGCCAGCGCCGCGATCGGGGGTGTCTCCAGGCGGCCTTCTTCCGCATCGACAGGCAGAAGAAAGTTCAGAGATCGGGTTTGATGATTTGAAGGAAAAGGTGGGCTCACCGGAACGGGTTTATTTAGATGCTGACTTTTCGAAAAGTTTGATCGGCAGAAGCAAGTGTTGCTCAGCAGGAGGCGATGCTCAGCGTAGGTCCGCAGTAGTAAGAGGTCATTGTCGTTGCAGCCGTCGACTCGGTAAGGACCCAGCAATCCCTTCCGGACTGCACAGTCTGTCCCGACGCGGGCATAAAAGTCACCAAGGACAGCCAACTTATCCGCCTCCGGCACAAACGTCAGGGGAGAGTGCAGGTCTTCATATAACTTTGTCTTCGCCTCGTCTAAGCCGGTCATTGTTGGGGTGTAGCCACTGATGATGGTGGAGAATTTGCCTCCCCGAGAGGCAGGCGGGGGCTCATCAGGCGATCGTTGATGTCCTGCGACAAACAGAGCAGTCGTCCCACGATGCCCTTCCGGATAGCAAAAGCGACGCCCGCACCACATCGCTCTGCCTTGGGGCGTCCACTCCAGAAGGTGTAGCCGGCACCCACTTCCTCCAGATGGTCTTGTTCTGAAAAACGGGTCTCACTGAGTGCAGCGACGTCCACCTTGTAGGCGTCAGTTCCCGAGGGACTAGCGACGTCGTTCGTTCCGGCTGGTTGGTCCTGGGATTATCTAAAAGGAGACGACCGTTCCAAGCCGCCAGAGTGAGCGGACTCACCATAGCTGCCTGTGGGGTGGGGTGGAGTAGAGGAGGAGGAAGACGAGGGCGAGAGTATTTTGTCTTATGTTTTGGTTTCTGTTATGTATGCAAAACAGAAGGTTAATAATAGACAGGACATGTACTGGGTACGGAAGACAGCACCAGTGGGAAGCCTTGTAGAAACGGCTGGGTATATGGCAGAGGGGAATGTCATAGGTTGAAGAGTGGTCAGTCAACACCAAGGTTATCTAAAAGGGAGTACAGACAGTCCGGACAGTAGACTCTGCGGTTTCGATCGCATGTTAAGCAGTCTGCGAATTACGGTCTGCGCGCAGGTGTCGTGAATCCGGCTTTGATTAGGGCACCTTTTATAGCCCCCTTTCCCTCACGGGGAAAGCAGTGTGCACCCTAAATAGGGTTGCTTTGTCGTACCAGACAGATACCACTTTCCACTATGGGTCATGGGCTTTGGTGAGAGAACGACCAATGACCTGGGCGCCTACGTGATTTTTGTCGTTCTCGCCACAGGACTTCCAACGGTGGGGTAAGACAGTAGAGCGAAGTAGAGAGCTGAGAGTGAAGGCCGGAGAGAGGGTGCGAAGGAGTAAAAGGGGGTAGAATTACGGTGTGTAGAGATGCAAACACAGATACCCTCACCCAGTTTAGCTCGCCAGTCGAGACGGTTACCAGGGTGTGGCTGCTAGACAGAGCCTAGCCTCGGGGAGCCACATGTGAGGACTGAGTGTCAGTTAATGGACACCAGGTGTAGTGAACACCTGTCAGCAAGAGAGCGACCTACCTCGACCTGCACGTTAACCCACAACTGGACACTCCTACACCGCATTTAGCGGTGTAGACATGCAGTCGCCCTACTTCAGGCGCCCAGTGCAATGCTAGCCCTCTCACGAGTACTTGCACGTGCACACCAATGACAGCCTGGCTTACAGCCAATCACAGCCGTGAAAACCAATCAGTCGCTTTCAAGGCTGACTCAGGCGTGCTCTCGTCCAAGCTGCTGCGGCGTTTTCCCCACTGTCACTCAGGACGCCCGGGCATGCTCTCTCGTTCAGTCGCCAACTTATTTCAACGGGTTATCTAGTTTTTCTGTACAGAGTACAATATCCTCTCAGCTGGCGTCCAACAGCTTTTTAAATTCGGGACAGAACCTGGAGGTCGTAGTGGCTAAATCCTGCCTATAGCTTAAACTGCCTGCAACAGGTCCAAAATGACATTTAACCGCTACATGGTGATGGTCAGTGGTGTGCTGTCGTTGTAGCGACTTGATGCAATGGCAGGCCGGCTGGAACGATGGCTCGGGGCAGGAACTAGTGAAAATACAGCGTCAGGGGATGAACAGACACCGCATCCCATGTCTGCACATTCGGACCGGACAGAAGCTGCATTTTTCAAGAGGCAACAACCGGTCCCAACTAGCTTAATCGCTTTGTACTGCTTGGCCAAGAAGCCACCAAAATAACAGTCCAGAAAAGCAACTAGGAAGTGTAGTAGTCGACGAGCAAGTAGCATGTCTCTTACAGACATCGCGAAGGTCATAGTTTGGGATAATCGTGTCTAATGAGTCATCATTGCGTCAGCTGTCATGACTTGCCCATAAAGCTGGGTGTTCAATGTCATGGACGAAGTTGCCTGCTCGTCTACTTAATTTTGTTAATGTGCGTTATAATATCCCAAAGAACGACATGGCGATTTAAATGTATAACGATCTTCTGATCAAATGATTTGTCGGCGCCTGGCTTGCTCCTTACTTCTACTGAGTCTCTTCATAACTAGCGGTGAATAACTAAGTAACAGAGACTAATTATACCAGTATGGAGTCCCAAGTCTCTTCGTTGGCAGAAATTTTCACATGTGCACTTTTGTTCGGATGACCCACGTCGGTCTGGAACTAGTAGTGGTCGCCAAGATAGCGCGTCTCTTACGAAAGTGCCGGAAGCTGTGATGAATGACCGTCTCACTGGAGATAAAGCTTACTTGGTGATTTTGAGTAGATTTGATTTGCAAACCCTCCTTGTCACAGGTTAGGCGGTAAAGGAACCATTGCTAGCTTTAGTCGACTGATTTCTATCTCATTTATTTGATAAGTAAACCCGAAACACAAAATAATTAGGTCTGCGGCGATCACGCCAAATTTGTTAGAACTAATTCCGGACGTGGACCGTTGTCTCCAGCAATCGGTGTTGGTGTTTTCTGTCCATGATTTGGTTACTGTACCCTGGTTTAGCCGCGCTCTCTGCCTGGATTCCTCGAAGCTTCTGACCCGTTACAATAATTATTTAGTGGTGCTCACTGGCTATTTATTGCGGCCTAAATTTATTTAGACCTATAACACATAGTTCATCTGCACAAAAGAATAATCAGGAATTTCGAGTTGTCAGTGATTTAGGCTTTCTGACTATCTGACCCACTTTTACAAGGTCCTATCAAGTTATCGAACCAGCAATTTTCTTGCTACTACCACATCCGTGCTGTTGGGTCTTTCCGTGTAATTCCGTGGGAGTGGAACTAAGGATTTCGAGTGTCTGCTGGCGTCGAAGGCCGTCATGGCTTAATATAGTTTTCTCACCGATGGGTGGAGCACACAGACACCAGGGAATGGGCTACCTAAGTTAGACAGGAAAACTCAAAATTTTATCTACGTCATTCGCCGATTCAACTTTGTCAAACAACGCCAAAGTCGAACTTCCCACAATGTGAAACTAACGAACATGATACCGCACGATGTCATAGTGAAAGTACTACCCGCCTGTTAGACAAAAAAAGTAACCAGGCAAATGATCCAGAACCTGAATAGTCGATTCCCGTTCGGTAAAACCTGCAATGCCTTAACTCCGAATATAATTCCAGTCGTTGCTACGGAGGTTGGCGTTATAACCGAGTTTTCCAAATTCATTGAAAGATAAACCGCAAACTTTTAGAGAACGTATATGCAGGCACTCTTACCAATAAGATACTACACGACCGCCGATTTTCGGTGCAACCGAACACGCCGTACACAGTGTGTGACTTCCGTCCCGAATATGAATGCCGATCAAGTGTACACGAGGTTTGATATTTATATAGCTCTTTAGATCATAAAGCATTATCAACTGACGTAGCCCAGGCACAACGCCAGTAGCTGTACACACCGCCGCTCCCGTGCGACCTTCTTAAATAATGGTTTCTTTTGTCAGCAGAAGTGCAATGCAATTGGTTGTCGAAATGACCATTCTACTAGCAAGGGCCAAATAATTTCCTAAATTTAATGATCTACTGGGGGTTTTTCCAAGATTTAATGCGAGCATGCAGGATGCTAACCACAGTAGCTAGCCAATCTCATGAAATGTCAGCCGGAATTCAAAAATGCGTTTTTTTAGAAAAGATTACTTGGGTGAGATTGTAAAATGGACTATAGTCCAGCATAAACCCAAGACATTTTAGTTATACCAGGGTGTCCTCCTGTGAGTGAGCTCATTTCCAACCGCCTGCAACGAATTCACTTGATACAAAGTGACTATCTAGGTAGTATGATTTTTTTCCAGTTAATTTTCTATGCCTCTCTAAATTCGAATATATCTTGCAGTAAACATACATAAAAATACCCCTTCTTGCACTCATGTGATACACAGTTACACCTTCTTCAAATATTGTATTTGAAAAAAGGGTATCTTTCCGATTTAAAAAGATCTCTTCGATTCCTGAATAATTTTGAACCCAAACAGCAATTGCAACTACGCTTACGTTTTCAAACTACACGCTGTATACTTTCCACTCGAAGGAAGTCATAGATTTCCCTACGCTATCGAGGAGACGTCATATAAGACTTATAAAATTTTGCGATGGATGAGGGCCCATGATACATAATTATCTAGCAGCATTAGTAAAATCACAGACGGAATGCTGTGTGAATGGATATTTCGGGATTTCTAAAGTCGCATAATTAAGATCTTTTATCGATATTTTTGGCGGATTTTGAATAATTCATATTGATCCAACTGTGAAAAACTAAGCGACCCGGTGGAATTCGAACCCACGAGAGTAAGGTGAAGGCTTTAGTACAACCGACGCTCTAACCACCTGAGCTACGAAGCCCGACCGGACGACGCGAGTTTAATCACAATTAGATCCATTTACCTGCCCAACCTACTGCAACGCCTGGAATCCGCCAAATCTTTTTCTAAACCGAATGATGCCTTCTCTTCAAGTATTAAATTTAAAAAAGACGCAATTAGTCACCAGATAAGTGCAATAATGGATGCTTTTTTGCTTGTTTTACATAAAAAATATTTGAGTCTATAAATGTAACGACGGTGTATCGCATGTACCCCAACTTAGTCGTACAGTGCGTGACCTAACTCATGAAATGTGTCAGAACTTACGAATGATTGCCAATCACTCGCAAACCGACACCACTTCATGAGTCAAATGATAACCATGATCAACATCGGGCATAAAATAAAATTTCTAGTCCGGCTTTATCTGTTTATTAAAACTCTCGCGGGTAAATTAGTATCTCTTCAATGAAAAAGTAGCTCAGATGCGTAACTGGAGTCCAGGACATGTTCTAGCATAGGAAATTGTACGAATGTATCCAAACGTCCATTTTCGCTAAAA